GTCGGCCAATACAAGAACCAGTCCAGGGACACCTGGGTTACCCAAGATTGGGAATCACTGATTTATACCCTCAGAGTTGGGTTGCTTTATTACCTGCGTGCTTTGGGGTCATGCAGCTTGTATTTTGAATGCCTTTCTTTTTTATATATTATTTTATTTTATTTTTTACATAAAGGGTGACATAGGAACATGGGGGTTAGGGTTTGTGAGGGAAGGGGATTTGTGAGGGAGAGGGGAAGTCATAGCATACTAATATCCAATCTATACCTATTGCCATATCAAATCCAAAATCATTCTATTTACTCTTTTCTGCCTTATGTATAAGGTTCTCATTTCACTATATATATTCAGCTACTACCTGTTAATTCAGTCCATTTATAAAATAAGTCCCATCTTTCTGTTGCCCTTTGCAAGGATTGGTCCTTCATAACTTCCGATAAGATGTCCATTTCGGCTTTTTCCCGTATCTTTTCCATCAGATCTTCTTGTTCTGGCCCCGCCGTACTTTTCCAATTTGAATGCCTTTCTTTTGAATGTGTCCAGCCCCCCCCCCCAAAAAAAACCCTGAAAGCAAAAGCGCCCGGCCTCCTAAGGAGCCATGGTTTGTTTGTTTGTTTGTTTGTTTATTTATTTATTTCTTTATTGCATTTATATGCCGCCCATCTAGACATTGTCTCCCACCTCAGAATGTGTCCTCGTTCGGTTGAAATTGGGAGCAGGGAATATCCATATTCTCCAGCATGGGACTACTCTACATTCTCCTGCAGCGCTATATCTATCTCAGTCCAGTCCATTATTAACACTAAGCAGGGCTCAAGGACCTATATAGAGTCACCTGCAGATGAAGTAAAGGAGAGATAGAGCTGCATGTCTCTTAGCATACTGGTGACAATAAGCCTCAAATATCTGTATGACTTCTCCCTGTGCCTTCATGTAGATGTTAAATAGCATTAGGGAGATGGTCAATGGCTGTGAGAACTTGTAACAGAAGTCCCAAGGGGTGGAGATGGCATCTTTAAACTGTACCATAAGAACGTAAGAGGAGCCCTGCTGGATCAGGCCAAAGGCCCATCTAGTCCAGCTTTCTGTATCTCACAGTGGCCCCACCAGATGCCTCTGGGAGCCCACCAGACCTCTACCTGTCTCCTGATCTATCCCCCCTGCATCTGGCATTTTGAGGTACCTTCCTTCTAAGCCTGAAGATGATACATCCCTACCATGGCTTGTAACCTGCGATGGGCTTTTCCTCCAGAAATCTGTCCAGTACCCTTTTAAAGGCATCTAGGCAAGGTGCCATCACCACATCCTGTAGCAAGGAGTTCCGCAGACTAACAACACTCTGAGTAAAGAAATACTTTCTTTTGTCTGTTCTCACTCTTCCAGCATTCAATGTGAGTGGATGTCCCCTGGTTCTAGTATTGCGTGAGAGGGAAAAGAGCTTCCCTCTATCCACTTTATCCATCCTCTGCATAATTTTATATGTTTCAGTCAGGTCCCCCCTCAAGCACCTTTTCTCTAGACTCCAGAGCCCCAAATGCTGTAGCTTTCCCTCATAAGGGAGGTGCCCCAGCCCAGTCATCATTTTAGTCACTCTCTTCTGCACCTTTTCCAGTTCCACTATGTCTTTTTTGAGGTGCAGTGACCAGAACTCTATGCAGTACCATCTGGGATCAGCCCTTAAGAAAGAATGGGAAGCAGTGGAGAACAGAGCTCCTGACCCCTAAACTCAGTAATCTTCCCAGAAGGATACCATGATGGATGGCATCTAGGGCCACAGAAAGATCCAAGAGGACCAACAGGGCAACACTCTCCCTGTCTTCATCCCTTAGGAGATTGTCTTGCAGAGTGATTAATGCTGGCCTAAGCCCTGATTCTAATGAATCCAGATTATCAGTTTCTTCAAAGAATGCCTGCAAGTGGTCAGCTACTATCCTCTCAATTAAATTTCCCAAAAATGAAATATTTGAGACTTGCCAGTAGTTGTTTAAATATAGTTTCTTTTACCCAGAAAGGCACATGGTCTTGAAGCATTGATGACTTGGGTGGCCCATTTTACTGTCCTTGGCAGATTTTAATAGCAAAGTTAAGCAAGAGTCTAAAAAAGAGGTAGTAGCTTTATAGCATGCAAGTGCCTTACCAACTGTAATCAATCCAATAAAACCTAACTAGATGATGTGGTGGACATCTCAGTCTGATCTGCTGGGCTAAATAAGGAATCAGGGTCCTGACAGATGCATTCAATCTTAGATCTGAGTTAGTTTGCCAGTTGGTTGCAGTTCTTTGTACTTGGTTGCAGTATTCATATTTGTAAGTTGAAAAAGTTCAAAAAAGTTCCAGTTGTTGATTGGAGTCTGTGTTAATCAATTTGGTGTTGTAGCCTCTTTTTGCTGCTTAAGTACATTACAATATTTGCCAAACATATCTCTGCCTGCATTCAGGGAGATGCATTCCGAGGGAGGATTCCTCCATCTGGTCTCTAGCCATCTTCTTAATTACTTCATTGTCCTCAACTCTTCTGTAAACCATGGTGAGGGGCGGGATCTGCAGTGAAGAGGGTATATAGGTCTACTGTCTTGGTCATCTCTATCTACCAGTGAATGACCTGGCCTTCAGCAAAAGTGCCAGTGAGGTCAGCTGGAATACCCCAAAGACATTTTGGAAAGAGTTAAATCCATCAGTCTTCAGAGATGGACCATCCTAATAGGTCCATTTAACCCACAGAGGAGCACCATTGTACAAAGTCTAAATCTCAGCAGCTGATAATCTGACCATGACAGGGTGGAAGATCATCTTTTTGCTCACACCAGGAACAAGGTGTGCCCTGCCACATGTATAAGACCCGTGACATGTTGGGATAGTCCCAGGTGTCTGTGAATTCCAAAGTTCCAGCAACATATATTTCCACATGAATGTTAAAAGTCCCCAGAAAAAAAGTATGAGGGACCTCAACAGTGCACCTGAGATGAGTTCCGTCAGCCTTGGCAGGGAAGGTTGGGTCACAGGAGGCATGGTACAACAGTGGGATTCCCACTGGTCTAACATCAAATAAAGGCACTCCTGAGCCTCTATGGGTAGAGATCATGTTGCCTTTAATAGATTTCCTATGAACTGTGGCAACTCACCCTCCCTGCCCCTCTAATCTGTCATGGTGCCAGATGGAATGTCCTAGGGGGCATATCTTGGGAAAGGTGACCCCATCTTCCACTCTCATTCAGGTTTTGGTTATACAAATCGGGTCCATCTTTTCATTTACTATAAGATCACAAGTTAAGATTTATTTTGGACCAGCCTGGCATTTTGCAGCAGTAGGAGCAGGTCAGCTGGTAAGGTTACCTGCTGAGAGGGGGATCAAAGCATGGGGCAGATATTAAGCATCTGGGACACATTGTCCTCTAATGGCCTGTCCTATTTCCAGCATCATAACTCCCATTATCCATTATCACTGATGCATCCCTATTCCTGATAACTTCATCCATGATTAGCTAACAGCTGGCACTTCCCCCTCCCTCCATCCCTCAGTGGCAAAGTTTATCAATCGTTAGTCCCCTACACATTCAAAAGTACAAAAATAAAGCAACAAACATGTAACAAAAATAAAGCAACAAACATGTCTTAGTTAGACATGTCAGATTGACTCTAGTTCAGTTGTAGTCATTAAAACTAAATTAATTGAAAAAATTTATAATGAAATAAATTGAAGAATTAACCTAATTAATAACTGCTCTGGATTATAAATTCAATAATACAAACTGTCGCTTCTCCCTGCTAAACTAAACTAGTCCACTCCAATCAGAAAATATTATACCTCATTTAAAGAGTAGTGTCATCTAGTGATCCTCCTTTTCCATATCTAGTAGCTAACTGTAACTGATTGAGTAATACTCTAATTATGAATATATATTCTTTTGTACCAGTTAGAGAGTGCCTTTCTCTGAGAGAACTCAAGAGTGAATCTCAGTAATTACTAGAAGTTACTGTCTCCTTGAATATTTTTTGTGTGGTGGGCTATGGTAGACAAAAATATTTATCAAAACTAATTCTAATGCTTTTTAGGATGATCATGAGCACCACGTTTTCTAAAATTTGGAAGTGTTTTATTGTATATTACCATAATTAAGGTAAATAATTAAAAACTTACTCTGCAGCTTTTAAGGTAGTATATTGTCTCTTGCTGAGTTCTGTCAGATATATGCTTGCACTTATAACCAGTGAGTAATAATGTATTTGGGAAGTAAATAAGCAGTTGGGAACTTTGATTTAAATAGCAATGTACTGTACACTTATTTCTTAGTAATGTACATTTCCTTAGTTACTTAAATCATAGCTATTCTGTTACAATTGGTAAATGAAACTCCAAGATCGTACTGCAAAGTATACTTCTGATAGTTTTTCTCATTATTATAATATAATAATAGATTTCTAGTGGATGTTTGATATGGATTGTTTTACAAAGGTTGCAAAGTTTTAGCAAATTGTCCTATCAAAATCACATGGAATCACTTTAAAATGCATGGAATTGAGCTTCATGTCCTTCTGGCATCAGTTGAAGCACCTTGAGCAGGTAGATGTGAGATTGAATTGGTGAAAACTAATGTAAATGCTCACTCTTCAGATATGTGGATACCAGTTTTTAAGGGAGAGAAATAGGGAGTTAATGTGTGACATAACATTTTACAAACTACAGTATATTGCATCATTTTGATGATACCAAAGTGAATATTGGACATAAAAATATATTCACTATAGTATAGCTTGAATCTAGTAATAGTCCCCATAGATATAGACTATTAATAATTGTTGTAAAATTAACGGGAAAATAGGATATTTGTTACAATGGGGGCAAAACTGGATCATATATGTCTAAAATTGTTACCTGCAACCATCTGTGCAGCCATTACTGTTTGAAGGTTTCTTTGATGTCAAGCTTATGAGACACCTTAATACAGAGTAAAATATTATGTTTTTCCTTAACCTTTCTAATGGATTTTCTTTTTCCATAGGTTGTAAAAATAAATTATTGTATAAATTGTATTACACCTGGGCCATGTCATCTATATTGCCATTTACCCCACCTGTGGTGAAGAGACTGTTAGGGTGGAAGAAGTCTGCCAGTGGCTCAGGAGGTGCAGGTGGAGGCGAACAAAATGGTCAAGAAGAAAAGTGGTGTGAGAAAGCAGTGAAGAGTTTGGTCAAGAAGCTCAAGAAGACAGGACAACTGGATGAGCTGGAGAAAGCAATCACAACTCAGAACTGCAATACAAAATGTGTTACGATACCAAGGTAAGAACTCGCTAAAGCAGAAACTGAATTTGAATTCATGTTAAATCTACTAAATGTATATATCGTAAAAAAAACTTCAGTGATGCTCGTAAAGGTCCTGAATACTATATTAGATAGGTTTACCTTTGTTATTGAAACACCTGCTTCATTTTAATTCATTTGACAAAGTTTGCTGATGCTGCACAGTGAGATCTTTACAGCACAATGGTTGACTAGATTTTTCTGTATTTCAAAGTATCTGTAACAGCTAGACTGTAATAGTGCATTACAGAATAATTGCTGTTACAGCCTGTGGTACTTAAGCCTATCATCTGCCACTTTCTGTTCCTAGAAAGGTATACTGAACGTTTTTTTTTTCCTGGTCATTGCTTTAGTTTGCTAATTGTACAAAAAACGTTGCCCTACATTTCTGAGCATTGGCATTACATTAGTTATATAAGCCCTATGTTTACTGTTAGAACCAATCATAACTTACCAACTTCAGTTGCAGAACTTCTTATCCTGTGCTTTGGATTTCAGGAAAATATAGCTTGTTTCTTTTAATCCTCTCAACAATGACCAGAGAGCGAGGCTGTGTATGTGGTGAATGGGGCAGTGTTCCTATGCTAGAATGGGGGCTGTCTTCTTGAAACATAAGCTTTTCTTACAGAACAGTGCTCCTTCAGGCAAATTGGCCTTGAAAAAAAAGACAAGTCATGTATGCAGTGACTGAAGAAGGTAACATAACTAAGAAGATGATCCAGTAACAGTCAAGAAGGTTATAAAAGACAAAAGATGGTTTACAAGTTATTAGTCATGATAAATAAAGAACTGAAAACAAGGAAATGTACATATAAACCTACACAAAAGCAAAGAGATGAAGTTAGGAGAAGCTACAAAAGAAAATACTGTACATTTTAAAAAAACAAAGCATTGGAAGTAGGGAACCAGTGAGCTTTCAGGATGATGAAAGCAATAAAGGACCATTCATGGGGCATTTTTATTGATTTATGACCTTTGCATTCTTCCTGGAACAAACTGTGTGGCCTACAAAAGGCAATATAAAAATGGTCAATAAAGGGATAGTTCAGAGACAGGTCGATATCCTGTTCCGTATAGGCAGACGGATAATTCTCCTACTGCGGACCTACCATGATCTGGGGCTTGGCCATTGCCCCTGTTCAGTGGTGGCTTCATGTCTCCTGCTGGAGAGAGGCATGCTGCCTTACTGCTCTGTCTGTGCTTTTAGTTACTGCCATTTCATGGGCCCCATAGACACTGCCTCTTTGCTGGCTTTGTTCTCCCATTTTTAGGTAAAACCTATTTAATAGAGAAGGAAGAGGGGGAGGGCGGTGATGAAGGCAAAGCAGAAAAAGAGAAAAGGAAGTAGTCCTGCTGCTGCCTGAGCAGAGAAAGGGAGCTGGAGGCAGTCATGTTGCAAAGGCTTGTGGACGCTGTGCTTCATGCAAGGGGTACATAATGCCTCCTTTACCAAGTCCAGGAGAAAACCAGCAGCAGGGATAACTAATAGTGGTCTGTGTGGACTGGGCTAAGACAAGCCGTATGATAAATCAGAATTCTGTTTTACCTGGAATGAGCAAGCTTGCTAGTCACACTGTCTCATTTTATCTGATTTCCCCACCAATGGAAGACGCTATATAAAGTAAGGCTTGTCTGTGATTTGTTCAGCATTATAACTAAATCAAGATGGTTGGCTTATTGTTCTGACAAGCAAAATGATAAACCGCCTGAGATTCTGATGCAGATTTAGTGCTAAACAAACTGGATTGTACTTTCCTGTTTTATTTTAAGTTTTTTTTCTGGCGTGGTTACTTTTTCTGATTTAACAATATATCTGAACTGACCCTGCATTAAAGTTGTACTAAAGCAGTTTGTAGATGGTGGCATAACCTAGTATGAGATACATGACCTAAGAATTTCAGGAGGCTGGCAGGTGATCCATGTCACAGTATTGTGGTTGCATACTCAGAAAAAGGAAGCTTGTGGATATCATAGAAAGACTAAGCTTGCAGTATAGATTGACTGTGGCCTAAATGAAAGCTGGAAAGTTGCAGTAGTTATTTCAACAGGAGCTCAAGTGCTGTTTGGGTAGATAAGACAGCAGGTGTTAAAGTGCAGTGCTGTAGTTTGGTTAGTATGCTTAGGCTGCTTCCTTTCTAGATCACAAATAATATACAAAAGGATTCAGAGAACAAAGCTTACCCATGCAAGTACGTTTTTTATAATTCTGTTTGAAATGAATGTGGCCCAGAGTGTATCACTACTGTACAAGAGAGAAGCATTAGTAGATTTACCCTGAAGGGATATGAAAAGTCCTAAGGTAGACCTTTCACCCCCGGTACTATAGAGTTTGTTAATCTGAGAGAAAGTTCAAAATTGAGTTGGGGTGGGAAGATAATATAATGTAGTTCAGACACAAAAAGAAGAGGGAAATAGGTATATAGAAATGAAACGTTTATTTGTCCAGGTAAGTCTTTTTCTGATTAACACAGATAAGCTATTTTAAACCACAGCAGACGTGAAAATTTACCAGAGATATTATAGGATAAAAATTTGAAATCCAGGATTTTAATGTGATGGAATTTGTGTTCACCTCATTCTCAGGACAAGATTAGCCAAGTGGAAAATTGAAAATCTACTGAAGTAGTAAATGTATACTGCAAAATTTTGTTGTTACTTGTGCCTTCTAATATGGAGTTTGGTTGTTGCACAGTTGTACTGTTGAAATATTGTGCAGGAGGGAGCTTTTGGCAGATTTGGGGTAGTTCTTTGGCTTGAAGAAGCTCAGCAATACTACCTCCTCCGCCCCTCCCATATAAGTGAGGGTTGAGTAAGAAAATTGACATTTGAGTGAGAGGGGAAAATAGAACACTGTGGCTAAGAAGGAAAGAGAGAGGGATATATATACAAAGAGATAGAAAGTAGTGGACTATATTGGATGGTCACTTACTGATTCATATAGACCAGTGGTTCTTAACCTTTTTGAAAGAAACGCCCCCTTGAGCCATTGAGGAAGTTATCATCGCCCCCCTCCCCGCGGTGATGATATCCTATCTATCTATCTATCTATCTATCTATCTATCTTATCTTATCTTATCTTATCTTATCTTAATTAGTTAGTTAGTTAGTTAGTTAGTTAGTTAGTTAGTTAGTTAGTTAAGACACTTAAATCCAATGACCCCTGAAAACAAAATTAAATTCCAAGAAAATGAAATGCCCCCAAAAAAGTAACATTTAATGATTTAGTTGCAAGTGAATTCTAGGACGCAAAAAGAAATATAAAAAGGGCATAAAAACAAATGCAGGAACTAAAAATTTCAAGACAAAAAGTCTGAAACTAAATTAAGATTGGAGGAAAATACAGTATATATTCATGCACACTGTAAAAAGGCTGCAGCCATCTTCACAGGTTTGGCTTGCTCCAGTGCCCCCCTACCGCCCCCTTCTACTCCAGCGCCCCCACACCGCCCCTTTTCATTCTACCGCCCCCCTGAAAAATGAAATCGCCCCCTGGGGGGCATTATCGCCCACGTTAAGAACCACTGATATAGACAAAGCAATTATTTTCACTCCTGCTAGAATTTAGAAAGCGCTACCCATAGACATTAGTGGAGAAAACAAGACTGTAAGATACTTGAAATATGTGTTTCACCACCACTCTGTCTCGCTCCATCCCATTTAGAAGTTAAGTATCTTTAAAACAAATAGAATTTAAGAGTCAACTCCTGTCCTCTGAAAATGCCAGCCACAGAGACTGGCGAAGTGTTAGGAGGAAAAACCTTTGGAACACGGCCGAACAGCCTGAAAAACCTACAACAACCATTGGATCCCAGATGTGAAAGCCTTTGAAGAATACATTGAAGTATTTTCTCCTTGAAATTAAGAATTCTTAATGGGTGTCAAAAACATTTAGGCAGCAGCAGTTATGTAGCTGTGCTGTCTGTTTGAGAAGCACCTTAGTCCTTCAGGAAATGTTTGTGTGATTTCTGGAATGCAGGGATGAAGTGAATGTAGCTCTAATTATTTTTGGAGGGCAACTTCTGTGGCTCCTCATTGTTGGCCATACTGGCTGTGGCTATTCAACAATGTTTGGACAATCATTACAGTTCCCACTTCTGCTGTGGAAAGTTGGAAAAAAATAGACCTTTCTTATGGTAGGAAATGTGTGGTTACCTGCAATTTGCACTGTAGTACTGGATTTTAACTTGTAAATAACATGAACTAGCTACTAGGATAGCTAGTCAACAACATTGCAAGCAATGTTCTATATAAATCGACAATAGATGTGCATCCAGATGGGTAATCTGGTTTTGGTGACTACATGGAAATTTAAAACAAAGTATAGGAACAAATGCCCATATAAGGAGACTTTACCATGTAAGAAGAATATTTTACTCTGGATCATGTCTTGATATATTGCATCTGTTTCTAAAATTCCTGCCCTTCTGCTTGTCCTAGAACATGGTATATACTATGTAAGACTCTATTGGTGGTTGCAATTGCCCCACTACATGAAGTATGTAAGGAAAGTTGTCAAAAAATGTAAATTGCAGGGGAGGTGTAGAAGTCTTTGTTTTGGTTTCTTAGCAATTGAAATGTGAAAACCAAAAGATGAGGTGAATAATACAGGAGCTTGGTAAAACCATAGATAGTAAAGGAAAGAGTGTATCTTAGTGCTAGAACACACATGTTAAGTGCAGATGCCTGGTTCAGTTGATGGTATCATCAGATGATGTAGGGAGACAATACTGCTTGAAAAAAGAGCCAGTGTGGGTCAGTTTTAGGCTAGATGTGCTAACATTCTGATTCTGTATAAGACCTCTTTCTGTTTTGCTAGGAGATGTGAACTATGCCAGATATCTTAATTTATGGCATTTCGTGCCAGGAGTGTTTGTTAATCCTGCCTTACATTGTTTTTCAGAAGTTAGGTATCCAGGAACAACAAGAGCCAGAAGCAGGGCTGCTGTAGAAGTCAGTATTACTTCTTAATTATTTTTTTA